ATAATATATACTTATATATATGGCCAAGGACAAGGACGAATCCGAAGGATTTGCAGCCTCCTCATGTGAGTGGTGCTCTTTGAACGCTTGTGTTTGCCCAACTGCGGCATTCGTGGCAGTTTCTTGAATAATGCAAAATAGAGGCATCAAATAACGGCACCGAAAGTGACTTAAAGTTTTAATGAAAATGCGGGGCTGGGACAAACACCACCCCAGAAGGCGCCATTTCGGCGAGTGCGGGCCAAACATTCGTACATTAAATATTAAGTGACTTTATAGCATTGCCCCGTAGTGCATATTAAATTTGGCATAAAAAGAAAGAGGCAGCTTCCTCCGCCATTAAACTTCTGGCTGGATATTTTCAAATATTAATTCGATTCGATGCTGCAATTCAATTTAACAGCAAACAAATTGGCATTTTGAACCGAAACTTTAGCTGCCATTTGGGCCCAGGAATTTATGTGCAAATCAAAGTCCCCAAAATTGGCCAGAAATATCCTGGAATTGTGGCTGCTTATTGATTGAGCTATTTAGATGGCCCACAACCCAGTTAGTATCTGTGGTCTGTGTGAAGCCCTGAGACGAATGTCGACTGACCACAAAACTTTTGCACAGACTTCCACAACATTGAGGTGTTCTGGCCAAGTTGTGGTCTCGTCCGAATGACCAGGGAAAAATTGTGGCTTTAACTCAACTTAACTCGAAGTTTTAATATGGTTTAAGCTCAGGTGAGACAAATCTATTTACCTCCCGGGTAAAAGCATTGCGCAGCTTGTATTGTCTAATACTATAATATTGTCCAATACTGTCATTTCCCCTAAACACGCCTTGAGCTATTCATTTTGCTGGATAATATTTACACAGCTTTATGCTATCTAAATTAACCTATTCATCTGCTACAATACTCATACATCAATAAACAATGATTCTCTATTTAGGGTGACATTTGCCAACCACAATAGTAGGTGACTAATCCACAATATTGTCAGGTCGTGTCTTAAATGAACCCACATTAAAATGGGCACACCTCTGGATTAGGTGTCCAAATGCAAATGACGCATCCCGGTGATCTGGAAAATGCATTTTGAGGTTGACACTTAACTTGGCCCGCAATGCAGAGGCACGTTGCACGATTTCAATAAATCTGAGGCGTGTCGAAATTTCCGACTTTTGCGATGATTGATGGGGGCGTTGACGGGGGGCGTGGCCGAGGCGCCCACAGACACGCGCTCCCAAAATGCGGTCAATTAGTCAAACAGAAAGCGTTTTCGCTGCGAAGCTAGTCCTTGCCAAACCGAACTAATTAAAACACGCTGAGCAAACTCGACGGTTTCTGGGATAAGGAATTGCGATTGGGTTTCGGGTTGGGGTTTGGTTTTGGGTTTGGGGAGTGGTGGTAATAAGCACGTGCCACTAGGATTAGCGAGGTCGAGACGCTTAGTTTTGATTATTGATGGGAAATGGAGGCGCCACACCCTTTGAATACAAAATGAATGCCGACAGGAGGAAGGTCAGCGGTAATCAAGTATGACAAACAAGTCAAATATTTGCAGGTATAACGTAGCCGAAAATTGGCAAATGAATTTAAGCTCACAAATGATTCATTCGAATTTCCGCTTAATTAAAAGTGAGTAGCCACCAGGATTCCCAATGCAGACAATGGCGTATGGTAATTGCGATGAGCTTGAGTGCCAAGTGAGTTTTGGGAGAGAGTCTGACAATAGGCCACCACTCCAAAAGCTATTGTATGATATCATGAATGTGACATGTTCACCGCTTAAAGCCATCTAAGCCACTGAGCATGACCAAAATTCATATGATTTCTTCCTTGAACTCGGAAGCTCTGGTCCCAAAAAGAATTATTATATCCGTACATCTAATTACTGATGCTCATTAGCCAGCGGATATATAAATCGCTACCTAGATCAGATTCATAAATGGCACACGCTATTTAATTATAATTAGACCTGCAGCGGATTTTTTGTCCAGCCATTTGTGTGGTTTTAAAGCCATTAGTGGTATTACCCTGTACTCAATGATACTTTAATTATACAATAAAAAAACAGAAACTTGAAAAGAGAAGAACAATTTAAATTGAAGATAAAATGAGTGTGTTGTTCAAAAGAAATGTCTGTTATACATACAGTGCTAAGTTATATTTGATTATAAGGTGTTAGCGTATCAACGTTTCGATTGCTTGACTCAATGAAGTATTGACGTCAGTTGAGATTTTTACTCAGTACCAACACAAATTAAAACCATTAGCCTGTCGTTTTAATTATAGCAATTTATTGCAATACTTTGATCAAATTACTCTTAAGTTGAGTGCCAGACTCAAAATGTAATTTAATTTTCTTAGGTGTTTGCTAAATGAGACATTTGATTGGAGACTGAAGGTCGTTGACTGGTGTGATGGTTAAAGCTCCAAAAGCAGAAGAACAAGAACATGTCATTAAATGGGCTATACAAATAATCGAACTGGTTTTTAGTTCGATTACGTCAGGGCTACAGTATTACCTGATTGGCATAAGCCATGCAACTTGGCTATTACTATTTACTATATGCAAATTAACCTTTTCATTTACTCAGAGTGCATTAAACCAGAAATTTCACGGCTTCCGTAAATGTCGGTAGGTTATGAGAGTGAGTAAGAGTAAGAATTTCAAGCCACGACATAGTAGCAAATATGTCATCACCCAACCTCAAAACTCGACGTGTGCCTGTGGTTTTGTGTTGAGGAAAATTTAATTCATTACAGACTACAGGGCAAATTGTTAGCTTTTAAGTGGTTGCATGTATCTTTTTAAGTATTAAAAGCAAGAATGAATATCTATTTATAAATAACGCTTGCATCCTAGAAATTAGTCACGTTAATCATGGGTAAGTTATAAAAAGTTAAGATTCATGACCAGTGTTTGAACTATGAGTAATGCCGGTGGAAGTCCAAGAATCTTGGTATTCCCTAAGTCCACGACTGATAAGGCTTTAATGACGTATACAAATATTAATAAACACAACAAGAATATAATAAAGAACCGGCTTTGTTTTATCACAACAAAATGGCAAAATAAAACTTAAAAAATAAACAAAAAAGAACGATGTAAAAAAGGGGCCAAGTGCAAACAAAAGCCGGGGATTCCCGCGCTCGAAAAATGTGAATAAGACCATTGAAAGAGGCTAGATCGAGATGTTGAACTTGAAACATTTGTGGACCAAAAGGGCAAACATGCACGCATACATCCACACAATCGCGGACACGTGCAGAGCTTTAATTATGTGCGAAGCGAAAAGTATCTTTCAGATATTTTCAGAATCTTTCAGCTCCAATGAAGACAATGAGCGGCGACGACACGTTTCGTTTGCTGTTGGCCAAATGATGTGCTGTGGACCGCTCTTAGTCGCAGTCTCAGTATCAAGAAAGCAGACAAAAGCCGAAAGACAAACAACATATTCAAGCCAAGAGCCCCGCACCAAAAAGCGTACATATGTCTACGGTTTTTTTTTTGTGTTTTGCCAAATTAGCAAAAACTGGTTTACGCAGGTACTCTGCTTAACTGGAACCCCAAAGAGCGTCGACTGGGGGAACTTGGGGCTAAAAAGACAAACAAAAGCCGTTTTGCTCATTAGTCGTCTCTCCGCCGCTCGGCAGTCAAACAAACTTCGGTTGTCGTTTTCGCTGATATCAGTGGGATGAGTGGGAAGGTCGAGAGAGATGTTGCCTTAAACCACCCATCAACCCACCTCCACACCGCCCCCACTTTTCCAAAACGAAAGACTAATGTATTACGGTATGATGACAGTTCGGTAGTCGGCCAACAAGTGAAGCAGAGCAAAAGCAGCTTATTTATAGAGGGTCCTCTGTCTGGTTGCCTCTGGATGTAGGTAAAGATCTGGGACAATTCCAGTTTTGAACGACACAGTCTCAGGAGCGCAAGCTCGGCACCGCCACGATCCGCGAAACGAGTTAAACTGGCTAAAAGGTGTTTTTTCCTATATAAACGGCTGTTCTGATCAATGACAATGGCTATCGAATCGTGATACAAATCGTAATATTTATCTATAATTGTTGATTGGTTTGCATATTGCCTTATTAGATTGGAATGCAATGCCTTCGTGTAGAAACTGTTTAATTGTTTATCAGCCTACGGATAATCATAAGTTACTCGCTTTTACCAAGAGACAAAGGCATATCTCAGTAGAAAGTTTATCATTTAAATTATATTAATAATCTTTATACTTAAGAAATTACAAAAATGTTCTTCTTCGATACTTTCTGACTGAAATTATAATTTTCTCTGCAAGGGTATAAAAAGGAAGAACAGTTTTCATTTTTTTTAATTATTTACAATTTTTCGAATCAAATTGTAACTTTGCCAAGTTTTCAAATCAGACTTTAAATATGTTTCAAAAACTGTGTCCATAATTCATTATAAATAGGTCAAATAAAGGAAATAATATTTTCAAGAAAAACAATTTTATTAATGTGTATAAAAAAGTTCGTTAAATATTTTTATAACGTTTTTATATTCTCATTAAAAAAGTGTCACAGGTTATCAGATTATTTTTATAATACTCAAGCCACAGCTATCAAGAAGAAATATATATAAATTTCTACGATAATATAGAGCTGGCAATGTGTGTGGGTAATAAGAAAAAACAATTTATGTTAGCCTTGGAAAAAAAATTCTACGAAAATTCAAATTTTATGCAAGCCGGCAAAAATCGAGGGTAAATATAGAAATACTGGACAAAAAAATGCGACCATAGACGAATGAGAGAGAGGGATAAAGAACCTCAAACATGGATTAAGTGCGCTTTTTATATGGAAATATGTTGCACTGGCAAAAAGCGCAAGCCCAGCAGAAGGCCAACTGGTCGAGAGCCAGTCAATAACCATTGGTTAAATTTGTAAAGCCAATAAACCAATTAGGAATTCTGGGATACAATGCTACCGAGCACATACCCCAGCGAATAAGCCCGACCGAGCAGATGGAACTCACCTATATATGGCTGCTATATGTGTATGCTGTGCTATCTCCCGATCCCACACGCCAATCTTTTCACTTCGGAGTACACGTTAAACAGTTCATATAAAGCTTCAAGACTTTTCCCTCAATTTTAGTAATTGAACCCAATAATTTGTAAGGTTAATTGTCGTTATGCTTATGTATTCTCAATTCTCTTTAGCGTATTGTACTCGTGTATGTTATGTATCTATATATATATGTGTTTTGCTTAGCTCTTTGTTTTTTTTTGGTATTTATTTTGCTCACATTTTTTCTTTTTGTTTTGCTTTTAAGTTTTTCGCGGATCTCGGCACAGGCAATGTTACCGCGAGATTTTCGACTTTGCACTGATGGGATCTCTCTGTGGTGTACGACTATATGTATAAACTTGGAGCTGGGAAACAAGTGAATAAGAGAGTCAATGGGGCGAAGAAGAGCGTTGCTCTTTGGCGCCCTCTCTTAACTAAACAATAAACTTATTGTAATACCAAACATGTGGCTTGTAGCGGCGGTCTGATCAAAGTCTCTGTGAACGGTACGTCACGATCATCGTCAGCGTGCAAAGTCCTTGACCAAAGCAATTAGAGTTTTCCAGACAACCACAATGCGGGATCTTTGTGCTGGTGAAATGATTCACAGCGGGAAACTGCCAGTGCACTTTCTGCATAAGGGAATGCCTCTGACAGAATCCACAGATGGCTGGCTTTCTAATTATGAAGGGGTGCGCATTGAATGAAACGCTCGACTAATTCGCAGCCTGTTAAGTCACTGGCACAACCCAAAACACAAATCAAGGACAGGACTGAAATATGTCACGTTTTGACGCAGAAACGGACTGACAATGACGAATGCTAATTGCACTTTTGCCATCTCAGCGAAAAGTCCATAAAATGATGCTGGAGTTTTCCCAGTCAATAATGGTTACAAATTACTGTCATCGTGAAAATAATGGTCCATTGGCCAATAAAAATCTAAATGCAAATGAACCAACTTTATTATTTCGTTTGAATAAAAAATGTTCAAAAAGCTTTTATTACGCCATTAGGTCTTAAAAAGTTCTGAAATGTTCGTTGCTGATTAAGAATTTTCGTTTTAATTAACGAACGATTTTTACTGAAATCTGAGATATTTGATTATATTTTTTTCGAACCAAATCTTTAATATGGGTAAAATATGTATTGAATAGAAAGTACATTCAATAGAAACTTTAAATCAAACAAAATGTTGTAAGATTTTAATCCATAAACCATAGTTTTAAAGCAAAAACAAATTATTTGGTACTCGAATTAAAATAGCTCGAGTTCAAAATGACATTATTTATTCTGTAGAAATTCAAACTAATTGTTAAACATTATTTTGGGTTTCTAATAGATAGTATCCAAATCCTGTTTCGGAAAAACGAGGTAAAAACATCATAAAAACATAAAAAAACAACACATATAATGAAAATTAATTTAAGAAACTACAAAACAATTTTTAACAATGTAGGTAATTAAAAAAAATTTAAGTTTTGTGAATGTAAATAGCTAGAAACAGCTATGCAATCAAAGCGAACATAATGTAGCCGTGTTTTGATAGTGGGCGTGGTGCTGCGGGTAGCGCGATGTGCCTGCTGTGGCAACTGAACGTTCGTCGCGGGTTCGATTCCCAGCGCGGTCATCGCTTTTGATAGCGATGTAAAAAAATAAAAATTAAATATAAAAGAAAAGAGGGGGGCTCAATGCGATTTCATCATGGCATAATAGTCAGACTTTCCCATAGTCGAACAATTTCCTCATGAATCGCAGATTAATTAATAAGGGTTACTGCGCGTGTCTACTGACAATTCGAATTATGAATGACAGTGTTTCGTGCAATTTCCGTACAACAATATATTATTTTATCGCTTAATTTGTTTTTTACCGCCACCACAGCAACCACCAACTTTGTCGGCAAGTTCACGCAGAGCGTGCGGCGAATCGTGCAGGATGTGAAGGACGAGGGGGCGCCCAGCGGCATGACGCGGGACGAGGTGATCGAGACGAACGAGCGGCTGCGATCCCTGCGACTGCGCCTGGAGGAATCCTACGAGACCGCCAAGAAGGCGCTGATCAACCTCATGAACAAGTACGGCGACTCGAAGAGCCAGCGCAACATGTTCCAACGCTATCCCATGCTCAAGCTCATGATTAAGGTCAGTAACCCTTGGTCAAAGCTCGAGGCTTATCAGAATCGTATTTTCCCGCAATTAGTTACGTGGCTTTTTAAAACAATCAGACTTGTTCTACATTTCATTTAAAGACGTATCACTAGAATACAATTTGAGTTTCGATTGGCTTTTCATGCAAGTCAACAATATTATAAAATACAAATTGTGGGGAATCGTAGGCAATCGTTTCTAAGAGCAACAATACCAGATTTTGCACTTCATTATTTTGTTGTGTAAAAACTGTAATATTTACCTCTGTGATTTAAAAACAGCTCTATCACGGAAAAGAATATACTCGGGTTCACTGAATAATTGCTACTGGAAGAATAAGCTACTGCTGCGCCGAGACAATCTCTTGATTACGCATCGGGAATTCTAGATCTGTTTCACGAAGAATATTTGGAAGTAATAAAAAAATATAAGAAAATATCATTATCGCTGAAAATACCATTCACAGAGATTAAAAACCTTACTGAAAAATTTGGCAAATCCACTCGCGAACTTATAATCTTTATATGAAAACAGCTTGAACATTTATACATATGCAAAATAAAATCAAAAACCTTAATTAAATTATACTTGTGACTGATAAGATTAGCTACATGTCGATTTTAAAGCCGCAAAATTTCCATACAAATTTGGCATAAAATTTGCATCTTTTGTTAATTGACTATAACCAATTCAGGAAGTCATCCGCCTGGAGACCCAGTACTGGACCCTGGTGGACATCCCTCGGCAGGAGAAGCAGGAGACGGTGCCCTCCTACGTGATGCGCGCCTGCTCCATCATGGAGAAGACCCAGAAATCCGGCGAGGGTGTGAAGACCTCCGCCCGACTGGCAGAGGAGGCGGCCGAGCGGCGGGAGCGCATGGAGCGATTGGAACGTAAGTATAGTCAGCTGACCATAGTATCATAAAGCGAAAGATTAAGGATCCTGACCCTCCACAGATATGACAACTGCCCAAATCGAACACGAGAACACGCAGCTGATAAACGACTTGTACCGCTTGCTGAAAAAGTATCTGGGATTGCGACACCTCATCCGTGTGCTGAAGGTGAGTGAAGCCGGGTGTAAGCGCAGCTATCCATTTTTATCCTTGTCTGATCCTGCAGGAGGAGTACGGCAGCTCGAAGATGTATCCGATATTTCCACGCTACACAATGCTCAAGGACATGATAAAGGGCATCATGCACGATCCCGACTACATGGAGGTGTGCCACGAAACACTGGCCAACGCCAACTGAGCCGAGGGCACCGGAAATGGCAGGCGTCGCATGAGTGTCATTTGAGAGGGCCCAAAAACTAATAGCAATACCAATACAAACAGCAGCATACACAGGCGCAGGACCTAGGACCTCAGCCAGAGTGTATGCATGAGTGCTGAATTCGCATGCGAATTTCTGAGTGATTCCGAGGTGATTTAGAAATTTCCGAACAGCTTCTTTGAAACTCCTCCCCAAAGAGTGGGTTTCACCAACCTCTTTCGGCCCTTCTAGCCAACACTCAAAGGCAAGCCAAGACAAACTATTCAACCAACTAACAAACTAACTAACAACACCCAGACCCCACCACCACCCACCACCAACTGAACAAGGAACTATTTACACTACATTATCAAATACAAACACTTGGATACTCTTCGGCACTAAAGTGCCAGCAAACAAACTAAAAGGCATTTATTTTAATGAACTTTTGAGATGAATACAAAGTAAGACCTACAAAATACAAAAAACAAAACACATGATATTTATTGATAAAATAGTGAACGATGCGCTCAAAACGATGAACAAATATCAAATGGAAAATCAAACAAAACTTTGTGGAATTTGTATGTACTACTTACAATAAACAGAACCTAGTATAATACACATAAATATAGAGAAAGAAGAATATATGTGAAATAACCATACTAAACTACAGCAGTTGATAGGGAGCATTGATATGAAATGGCTAATAACAAATTGTAAACTCTTTGGTTTGGCTTGACTTTGTCACCTTTCTGTTTCCTTTGAAGTAAAGAACTGGTCGATTAGCCGTTAGCAAAATATTATACTAATTACCGAGGTGTATCAAATTATATTATATAAACCCTATGCCTAGATGTATTACTTACCTAGTTAGACAATATGAGGGAAATATTCCCAATCGATGTGAGCAAGTACGAGAACTCTTAACACCTTTTAAGACAACACCAATTCGTGGAGACGTTGAGGAACCCATATCCTAGAACCTATCTGATTGTTGATTTCCAGGTTTTGCCAGTAACTATTAGTAACAAGCAAATGCTTTATGTGTGTATCGCAACGTTCAGCTTTAAGTCCTCTGCAATACGCAAAAGTTCAGATAATGTGTATTCATGTATTTGCTGTTGTACATACCTTGTAGCTTTGTAATCCCTCAATTCAAGGACATAATGCAAACACTGAAATACAAAAGACCAAAGGAAAACCTAGACGAGCTTACAACTTTTTACAAGAGCTAGAAACCTACAATTTCCATTTATGTTATTTTTCATAGAAACTATATTTTATTTACTACTGCAGCGATGGCAACTTGAAAGATATTGCACCCATAATCGAATAAGGGAATGACACTGGCAGAAGTGAAAAGCCCTTGTTTACTACTATAACTCTATTGACACACCCACCGATACACAGAGGATAACACTGGCAGTGCATACATATCTGAATTTAAGCAAATCAGAAACAGATTCGAAAAGCCGCAGCTATTAATGAAAGTGCAATTGAGTGCATAAATTAGGCCAACAATTGTTTGCCTGTCTATTATATGCTTCACAGCGTCCGATTGCCGGTTAATTTTCCCCCAACACTGACTTAACGTCCGCCTAATGTTTTCGAACGCTTTAAAATATATATTATTTATCTGCCTACCTCCCCCAGCGTTTTATATCACATAGACATATGGTAACGCTAGCCTTTCAACAGCAAATAATACTGCATCAGCAGAAAAACATTCATCATAAATAAATCAAAATAGATAATTGAATGTTGGAAAAGTAGCAATTTAATTATGCAAAATCCATACTATAGAGTGAATTAACAAAATTTCATTTAGATGGTTAAGCCTACGCGATGAGTTCTGTTGTTTATGTAGTTAAATGTTGAGCATTAAATTTGAATTTAAACAATGTTTGTCGCGATTTGCTTACAAAGAGCGGATAAAAATGAGTTAAAACCTATAATATAAAAACAGATAATATACAACTATGCAATTATAGCGAAACTAATTAAAACTAAACTGTAATGATCAGGTATTAAAGTTATAAAGTTTAATCAAAATAAATTAACAAATGTATGCATGCGAGTGTGTGAATGTGGCCAATACAAACTAATTGCAATATAGAATACAGAATGAAACAGTTGGGGCAATATTGCTGTATACCTACAAAGGCAAACATAAATACTATAGTTATATATGGTAATGGTATTCGTATTATTATACAACTTATACACGATAAACAACATATACACTTGTACCCTTAATTATAGATACAGACCCACATGAGGAAACATGAGCAGTCGGTATTCCTACAAACAAAAAACTTCGTACAATTTTACCTTTTCAACTTCTCAGTGTCTAACAAACAGCATTAAATGTGTTTCCGCAAAGAAAGTTACCAATATATTGGATGTATCAGTAAAAATATGTGTCAAGACACTCGATAATATGTGGAAATCGATAAATATATTGATATGCAAAAATTTATAAAACCTTGTTTCATTTTCTAAACATTTTTGTAAATAAATGTTTTTTTTTTAAATGGAAAGTAATTTAAATTGGGAACGTTAGGGTGCCAAAAGGATTTCACTGGCAGCAACAACCACATTTCCAAGCCATTTGGAAAAAAATTTTAATTTTTAAATTATTAGAGCCTTTGTTTCCTTGAAATATATAAATATATAAAATATATATCCGGTGTAGACTTTACGGATCCGTCATCCGAGGTACTCAGCATGAACAGCGTGTATCCCGGAGTCAGCTAAAAAAAATTATTAATAGAAATTAATAAAACTAGGTGCTACTGTCCAAATTTTTAAGGAGGTGGCAAGTATTTTATCTTTCAAAGGTTAATATAAAAAAAATTCAAATTTAAAGAATGACGCCGAAATTGTAGGATCAGTTTTCCGTGGAAATTGATAGCATACAGCAGTTTTACCATAGTCCGTGCTACACGCAGAGAAAATACAATGCTGCCAATTTAAGGTTCGAGACTACGGAATTATAATACTAGTAGTATACTAGTTATCCTACTCTTATATTATATTTAGCTTACCCAGTCGATGGTTTTTGTATTGGGTGGGGTAAATGATGAGGTTCTTGTCTGCGCTAGTGTAAGCAGTTCTCTTAATAATGTAAGCAGTTTTATCAATAGTTGTAAGTTACTGTTAACTAACATTATTTTAATTTATTTCTTTTGAAAATTAAATTATGTTATTATTAAAATTACCGCGATTTTGAAGCTTATGACTTATGTGCTAAAACTATGCTACGAAACTCTCATGACAATTCGATGTGGCGTTTAAAATCGAGCAGAAAACGCGTTCGAAATCGAATTTGTTCCACGTGTGATACAACAGATACTAAGTAACAGTGAAATGGCAGCGCCGGGATGTGGTGGGTCTTGAGGGGGGCAACGCTGGCAGTCTTAAGGGTATGATTTCGGTCGGGAGGCTTGGGAGCGTTTCCTACGCTTTTCTGAGGAGGTCCCAGGGTCGTGGCGGATGTGGGGGAGCGGGGCGCAACTTTTGGGGGCCTCACGCTGGTGGCCGAGTTCGGAAAACTGAGAAATTGGGGAAAAACCGGTAAAGTTTAGTTTGTCGGTCTGGCAGCACTTTATTTTGCACATGAGTAACACACGCGATGGGAAAACTGGTGTATTCGATCACTTTCCACGAAAAACTGATCGCGGGGACCTGCCCCCCACCCCGGGCTTCCATCGACGTCACTTTTTTCTCGCGGAAAATGCGGCGGAACGGAGAATTTCGCGACACACAGATTTCAGGTCCAGGCAGTGTGACCACCTTTGGGTTTAACGCAAATATAGGCGCTTTCTGGCCACTTTCGCATGGCGTTACGGGACATTTTGCTGTTTCTCCAAGGTTGTCATACAGTTTTGGCGCCGTTGTTCAAAGTTTTTAAGTGACCATACTTGTGTTTTTTATATAATGGACCTCTTCAGGCTTAAATTCTTTGCCATGCCGCACCTGCGCGCCCAGGTGGACAAGCACCTCCCACAGGTGGATGATCCGCGCCGGCCAAGCGGGATCCTTAAAAACTTGGACGGCGTAAATCGGTTAAAGGATCCCGGCAGGTGTTTCTATTTGATGGTAGACGTCATACACCTGACTGGGGTGGGTTCCTAGTCTTATGAATATTTTCTTAATAATTTAATTAAACAATTTACGCACCCAGCCGACGCCGGGACACACGCTAATCATGATGGGAAGTTTGGTAAAGATTATATGGCATTGTTATCTGATTTTTGTATAGCTTAAAATATGTCTTAAAAATGAAATAGAGTGTGAGGAAAATTACAATGACAGGGTTCATTGTCAAATCGTCCACTAAAAGACATTTAATTTAAAAGGTTTGTTTTAATAATAGCTATTTTTACTATTAGTTCTGACAATAATTTGTCCCAATTGCTTCCAAATATATTAAGAATAAATACTATTTGAACAGAACTATTTATTTAATGTATAAAATTACAAATACAAATTCGGGTGATTTCTGTAAAGAACATATTTTTAATATTAAACATATTTCTTCACGAGCTGATTATTGTTGTATATCTAATGGATATAAACATATATTTTCCAAAATTGTATTTAATTTAAAAAATAATATGTATTAATTTTAATGTCTTATTTATTGTATTCATTAATTTTGTTAATTTTCAATATGTGAAATTACTTTTTGGCATGATTATGCTTGCCAGATGCGTTGGCTTCTGAGGGATCCTCGGGCAATGAATCCACGGAAATGGTGGAGCCCTTTGATTTTGAACTGGCTATGGACCGCGAAGAGTTCTTCGGGTACTTCACCGCTTTGGTATTGCCGGAGCATTGTAATATAAAGCGAAGTTCGTCTAGAAGTTCGGTTTTAAAGTCCACCTGTCGATACGATCACAAAATGAATAAGAAAACTCTTGGCAAGGGAACTGTAACATGCAGACGATATCTATGAAAGCATTCTTGAATACAAAACCGTGTTAGATTGGGTATTATGATATTATATGAAATATGAAATATTAAAGGTGCCAAGGTGTTGAAGAGGCTGGGAATATATTTTTGGCTCCGAGCTGTCGTTTTGGGGAGCTGATAAAACGAATCCGTTATTCAGATTAGGGCGACCTTTTCAGCGCCATTTTTAGTCACGACACAGGTGATAATATTTATAGAGCGCCACCCGCGTTACCTTGTTTTCCCGCGCACTCAAGTAGACGCTGACCACGCAGTTAATCAGGCCGTAAACGCTGCCAAAGCAGCTGCCCACGAACATGACCAGGTAGACGCCGCCCAAGTTGGCGAAGCCCAGCGAGGAGGCATCCGAATCGGGAGCTTCCTGCGGGATTTCGAAGGATGTCGGAGATGTCACGGTAAGCAATTTTCGGTTGCGAATGTGTGTGTGTGTTTGTGTGTGCATTTAAGGCAGGCCAGCTAATCGGATCGTAAGGCGGGGATAGTCGAAGCTGGAAAATATCCCTGGCGGATACCTGGTTCTCATCGCTGCGCTCCTTGACGCCCAGCACCATCTCGAGCAGGGAGACAAAGATGCCGAAGAAGGAGCCCACTCCCATGACAAGGAAAACGCCGCCCAAATTGCTTATCTCCAGGGCCACGGCGCCAGACTCCTCGTCCGAATCCTGCACACACCCACACATGCACCAGCTGCCAGAGATTGAGATTAAGGTCAGACACTTACCGAACAGGCTCCCCCGCCGCGCTTCTCCTGCCACCATTTGGTCTTCATCTTGGTCAGCAGACCCTGCTCCTGCATCTCCAGGACTGCCTGGCTGAGTGTGTCCCTGTACGGCCAGTCTGGAAAGGATCACTGTTAGGATATGCTTGGCAATCACTAAAGTAGTCTGCAACATACCCTTCCTCATGGCTATGCCATAGCCCTTCTCGTCCAGCAATGATCCCACTTGGGTGAGGGTACATCGACGCTCTGTGATATACTCTATGGTGGTGGACTCCATGAGAAAGGCATAGTTGGTGTTCTCCACTCGATCCACGCCCTCCTGGTTGGTGTTGGTCATGTACTGGGGATTATCCCTCATGAATTCGTACATCCGCTGGTAGGTGGGATACTTGGATTCCTATAATAAATATACAAATGTAATGGTTTGATTTTATAAGTAATAGTTATATAGTTTTTTCACCTTAAAAAAGTTGAAAGTAGCTCCCCCAATTTTGGCACCATAGTTCACACCGCCTTTGTTTTTCGACAAATCATTCGCATCATTAATGGGGGTCACCAAGGATTCCACGGTAAGAAAGGCAGCCAGATTTGCCGTGTAAGAGGACACCAGAATCAAGGTGAAGAACCACCAGGAGGCAGCCACCGCTCGAGTTGAGTAAGCCCTGCAAAGAAGACATTGGGCTTAATTACTATATGAACTTTCAATTAAATACAAATCATACTCACTTGGGTGCCAGTTCAGAGCCCTGCTGAAGCAGAGCTCCAATGGAGAACCACAGGCAGTTGGCGAAGCTAAACTGATTCTCCAGCTCCGTTGGCTCCTCGATGCAGGGATTCGGATTGTCCCACTCCGCCGGCGAAAGGCGACCCAGCACGAACATACTGATCGATACGCCCATGTAGGCCAATCCCAGCCAGAGCCAGACTTCCCCCGAAAACGGCGACATGAAGGAGAAAAGCATACGACCCTCCTATAGAACCCGTTCAGCTAAACAAATTAATATAAATATGCCTTCTTGTTTTTCCCCCCTCCCTTTTCCAAATCATCCGTTAGATGGCGCTACCATGAAAGGCTTAAGCGTTTAATGGTGGCGTTAGAGGGGGCAAAGCTTCGGGGGCTCCTTCATTGGTTTGCGGAACAGAATGCCGATTCCTGCAGTTACAAAAATAATTTAAGTAGCAACTTAAAATAATTAAAATACCTAATTAAAGTTTTTTCTTCATTATTCAAAAGTAAACTATTCAAAAAAAAATTCGGTTATTAATTTAAATTATTTAAAACATATGATAGATTTTTTAAAATATCAAAATACATTATAAAATTCGAATTGACAATATAAATTAATATGTAAGGCAATATATGTTAGATACTTTTTATTTACGCACTGAGTATCTTCATTAATGCACTTACCCAGACTCATAAAGGGTATGGTGAAGTCCACACCACTCTCTCGCTCCGATGTCATGGTCAGGTCGGTAATGCCCATGTCAGCGCGCTAATTAAATATTAAAGATTATTGTATGGCCTCTTGGCATGCACGAACACATGCATTTATTAATAGAAATGTAATTGCATATGTAAATATTGCGCATACGCCCGATCGAGCATTGTAATAGAGCAATCTTTGAATTATGGATTTTAATTTACAAAAAATATACTTAGCCATATTGCATTAATCACATACAAGCTGTGAAAAAACCTTAGATTATAAGGCTTCCATATATGCAAAAGGTTTGCCCCTTGTCAGTCTTGTGATGTCCCATAGAAATGGAAATTGAGTAGATTAAAATGACACATTAAATCATTTTCAATTATCAGGAATATATGTAGTATAGATTTTATAAACAATACCAGATAAGGATTTCCAGAATTTCAATAAATTGTACTACTCATGAAATGAATTTTCAGTTTCCATCATTCGTTTAAGCTATGAGGTTTTACTTTAGCAGTCTACTAGCCGTAATCTTTGGCGTCATTTGTTCAGAAAGTGCTGACATAAACGACCCTCATTATGAGGCCGATAGACGTTTTATACTTGACATCTTTCATAATCCCTCTGTAAATAACTCCACCAGGGAAAGAAACATTCCGGAACTGATTGCTTTTTATCGTCGCTACCCCAATGATGTTCATCTATCCGATGTCGACAAACAGCAATTTGAGAGGTTCATCTTTGAATACAACGAATCGAGAAATGTTTTGATTGATGGAGTACCGCCACAGGGAGGAATAATTGGATCTATATTTGGAAATTTTTTAGGCAGACTCGGATATAAATATTTTGAGTGTCTGTTTAATAAAAAAAGAGATGAGATAAAAGTGGCACCAGTTTAACTGAACTTCAATTTAAACAACGAATGATATTCATCAAAATCTTAATAAATCGTTTTCTAAAACTCTTTGTAGATTAATTCATTAAGGTTTAACTGTACATTTGTTGAAAGTTTTAAACGGAATTAATATTGTTAGCATTATCAACGTTCACCTATAAACCGTGTCCATTTGGGGCAATTGGAGCCACAGTCACTTTGAAAATAGCCTGCCGTTTATGGCAGCATTAACGATTACGTTAACGATGATGACAGCATTAATGGCCATTCAATGTAAATCAATATCCACACAGGGTGAACAAAGGATAAGCTTAGTGATTTAAATGGCCGCAGGGCAACGGATGTCGATTAGATTTATGTCCTGTTGGACCCCTACTATTCCCAATTCAAACGAACTCACGCTGTCTATTATCTCACGCAACATGCCATTCCATTCCTTTGTCTTGGGGTCGATCCCGCCATACTTGTTGTCCACCTGGAGGCGCCAGGTGTAGGTGAAGCCCAGCTTTTTGGACAGCTCGTCGATTAGCTCGATGCCAAAGCCCTCGAACTGATCATTGCCCTCCAGCTTCTCGGAGGTCTCCTTCAGCATGCCATAGGGCTCGCTCTGCGATTTGGGGTTAAACAAAAAATAAAGAAAGTCAAGGTCGGAGTTTAGCCCCGGACGTTTACCCACTCACAATGGCCGTGATGACGACGAAGGTTTTGTTCACCAACGAACGCATATCCGGCTTCAAGGAGTGCGCCGGGGCTGGCCGATTTTCCTGGAAGCCATCCTCGCCGCTCCATTTGCCAATTTTCTGCATCCCCGAAACACCCAGCTCGATGACTTCCAGCTCGAAATCCGTGCGCAGTCCCTCGTAGTCAAAGCGAATGGCACCCGTGAGGCCATTCAGCGTTAGCTGTGGAGCGAGACTCGTTGCATGAGTTATTCAGAGTCAGCCAGTTATGAGCACAGAGAAAACAATCTTAATCAAGTTCGAATATTTTTAAAAATTAAAGAACAACATATTTAAATTATTGATAAATAAATGTATTAGGTTTGTACACTTATATTTAGGACTAACGAACAGCAGCAGTAATGATACTAAACATCACTAAGACATCGGATCACTTTAGCAAATGCCTTATATTTTTTGTGAGCATAAACAAAGGACATGCTAATAAGTTCATGCTTTATGTACTAAGGCAGAAGGTATTTTAGATTAAAATGATTTAATATAAGTATTAGGGGAGTATAATTTCTATTTAATCCAAAAAAAGGTGTTTTAAAAAAAATAACTTTATCGGAGCTAGCCAATATATGCTCATTATGACTAACGATTATGATTATTAGACTTTACTTTTAAAATAAATAAAAATTAAATGAAGTTTAACTATGGTTAAATAGCTAAAAGTCGCCAAAGAAATAAATATATTTGTATAAAAATGAAATGATATATTTTCTCGCCATGCAGCGCAGACTCACCGACTTCATGTAGTTGACGAGAGTGTAGCCCTTGTCCCAGGCACTGTCATCGGCACAGCTGAGGGCCACGGGCCGGAAGTTCACGTGCTTGTAGGTCTCGGCCAGCAGCTGAACGCCATCGTAGACCAGGGCCATGCTGTTGGTCAGGGGGCAGGACACTGTGGGTGGGCGAGAGCCATAAAGGATAACGTCATTTATCATTTCCGTCCCCGTCGCAACGGGGCCATGAAAATGCAATTCAATTATTTAAATTCACTCATGCGAATGGATTTCGGATTTGCATAAATTGTCTAGATCCACGGTGCCACAACGACACTTTCAGGTGGGTCGGACGACGACTGTCATACTGTGTGTGATTTACCGTTCTGGAAGGGCTCCTCGCTCTCGTACAGCGCCTTGGCCACCTCCTGCACCTGTGCGCTTTCCGGGGACACCAGGCGCAGACCCGTGATGTTGGTGCCGGCATGCTGATACGGCTCCAGGTCCATGGTGTGCCAGTCCAGGTTGCCGATGATGTAGCGATAGTCGCTGGTCACCAGGCCCACCTGCTGGGCCTGTTTGAAGAACTCCGGCAGGGTGGCCATCGACCCAACCACCACGAACGAGAAATCATCCGCGTTGCGTATACGCCGCAGTTCATTGCGGTAGTTCCCGTTCAGGTCCAGCTCATATCGCCGCACTGTGACCGTGGGTCCTGCCGTCCCGTACATCTGCAGCAGCTCCCTGACGGTGGCCAAGTACTCGCCCGACTCGTAGATGATGGTGAAGCTCTCCCAGCCCAGGGCCGCCACCATGTCCCGCAGGGCCACGCCCAATGTGTCCGGGTGCGGGTGCAGATTGATGGTCGGCAGCTGGGCCTCGAAGTCCCAGCGCGTGTCCAAAAAAGGCAGCTCCTTGGCGTCGCAGATGCTCATCGCGTGACGGGCGGCCAGGTTCGAGGTGGGCCCAAACACCGCCACCAGATTTTGCTGGGGATAAGTGGAGAATAATGATTTTAATACACGCGAAAAATTAGGTTTAGGAATATTTAAAAAAGGGTTTTTTTCCTACAAGCCTGATCCGGTTTTTGCTCTTGTATCAAAACAAATTTTCAAACATTTAAATAATAAGCGAAAGAAATATATTTGATAGTTTATTATAAATTTTTTGATAATAGTTTGGTAACAATTTTGGTTATTTTACCAATCCATTATAAAAAAATGTAATTGCTTAACCTATACTGAGATAAGATGTTGATGCCAATTTCTAGTTCAGATATTTGTATAAAAGAAACCCTTTTTTATACCTTTTAAACAAAAATATCTGTACAAGGTGGTGCAAAATAGTGTTCTAGATATCGGATCTGGATGCAATTCAATGCCAAAACATAGGTAAAAAGCCTTCAATTGCTTTATTCTTTATACATTGCTCAAAGCTTAGAATACTTTCTGTTGATTTCGTTTTATTTTCTTTTAACTCCCAGTGTGCAATTAATAGTTTAAAGGAATTCTACCCACCCTGAGCATTTTGCAGAGCTTCTTGGAGGTTTCAAAGGAGTTTCCGGGCTCAATGGTGACGGACACTCCGTGCAGCTGCAGATCCTCGTTCTCCTCGTTCGCTTTAGCGATGGCCAGGTGGAAGATCTTCTCGAGATCCGGTTCGGTGTTCTCGTAGACAAGACCTGCAAGCCAAAGATTTTTGAGAGAGTGACACTGTTTTTCGCTCTTTGTTTTGCTTAGCGGGTTCTGTTTATATTTTTATTTCTCGAATTCGCCGCTGACATCGGCCAACGGTGCGTATGCGGCATAAAAATACATGACACATTTGCATGCTGCGCTGCACATTCCTGCTTATGTAACGCGAAGAAAAGTGCACTTTACTCACCCACATTTGTCCTCTCTCCATGGCATTCAAATAAAACCAATAGCAAACTCGTTAGGATGAAGCCAAGCGGAAAACTAGCTCCTGTTGGAATTATTCTCCTCGATTGCATTTCTGAAATGCCTTTGCCGCCGCCGCGAAATGTAATCAAAAATTCATAAATATTTTCTACGGTTGCCTTCGCTTTGAATTTCGCAATTATTTCCAATTAATTGCGCGATTGTTCGCCGAACTAAATTTGCATTTTTCTGCACGCTGTCCGTCGCGACCGGGAATGCGAATAAAAATGGCTAAGAGCACAAAAATACGGCCGACAGCAATCTGCTGTTGATGCTGCATCAGCTGATAAATTCGCCACAAGTATTTTTAGCCACTTAAATGTTTTATGAATGAAAGTATTTGGCCGGCCAGCAAAAGTTTTTCCTTAACTTTTTCTAATTGAATCACACTTTAGCTTCATTGGAGCCAAGTGTTTGGGCCAGTGGGCGGCAGATTAATTAGATAAGCTCAACCTTTTTAGCGCCAATTTAACACGGCACCATGAAATTGATCCCGAAAAAAATCCCACTGTGCTGAAACTGGAAAATAAATCCGCCGCAGCAACAAAACGTGCGCAGCATACAATTCAACGGCTAATGGAACTGGACCCTGAATGCGAGATATCCGACTGAATGGGCAAGTGTGGCATGAAACATAAATAAACAAGGCGAAAACGAAAATAGCCAAATGCACTGGCTGGCGAAAGGGGGCGAGAGATTGAAAACAGCTTTTTACCCCGAAATTGTTGTGGCCCCACGGACGGACGTGCAACAAGCATCGATAAGTGCAGAAAAAGAAAAGGAAAGAAAAAAATTGGGGGTCTGTCCCAATGGCTGTAAACAAATTCATTGCATTTCACTTGGATAGCTGGCGATGGTTGGGTGGCTTCTCCATCTGGTTGTACTGTTATTACTCTGGCCAGGGACGTGCGACGCCCCACTTGTGGATTTTTGAAGGCCCAGCACGATTTATGGACCAGGCTTTGAATAATCCATTTAGGGCATGCAAAGCAGGGGTGGGCCCAAACATCTCTTATTTTTAATAATGATGGTAGGGCTGAAATGTAAAAATTGCTACAAAAAGTAACTCTTGCATACACGGACATTGAGAGCCTGGCAGCCACGCCGGAAGGTTTTTGTGTTTCCCACTTTCGGGCATGTCCTTCACACACAATGGCGTCGAGGGGCGTCCAAGGAAGGATGCGGGGCAGGGTGGGGCGGCTTAAGGGGCGTGGTCGGGCGTGGTCGGGCGTGTTCGCTACCAGCAAACTGTTGCTGTCGGCAGTGAATAAAATCAACGTCTACGTCAACAGCAGGCACCTGTCGTGACTGTAGCCCAGGTTGCATTTATCCCCGAGCTGCACATTTAAAATTAACGACCTTTAGTCCCGCCTGAAAGTCCCTGGAAATCCCTGATCGCTTACCAACTCAAACTTGAGCCACCACTTGAAATTATTTATTGAACTCAAGTAGAATACTTGCAGCACTTATTATTGCAGATATATTTCACAACTACTTTATAATTTTTCTTGAAGAATTGACAATAATTTGTTTATATATGTTTAAGCCCAAATTAAAGTCAATGCTAAAATACGAAAATGGCCAATTAATTTAAAACTTGTTGATAACTAAAATGTAAAATAAGATATTAGTGCTATTTCTGGGAAAAATTATAATTTTATTTTGACCAAGATTTTAGATTACATATTATTATTGATTAGAACTCTAACAAAATTAGGTATATAAAAGCACAATAAGGAAAGTCGTCATTAATATGTAATATTCGAGGAAAGCCGAGTTTAAAATATGTTGGAAAAATGTCTCTGAAAGCGTATTTCAAAGGCAACTGTTACACATCTGCTTGTGGTGTTAAATTGCCCAGCAGCTATGCGCTAGCATTTGCATTTACATAGCCGTGTGCCGGCGTCAATGTATCTTGAGGATACGCATGCTGGCACTCGCCGCGTGCCTGAACGTGCATTCTAAGCTGGCAAATCGCTGGCATTATGCACACGCACACCAGGACCCATATCCACAGGCTCACTTAACCACACGGACACTGCGAGTATTTGCATAAGTGCTCGGGTTGGGTCCTTGGTGGCAATTAGTGCGAGTCTCTAGCAAATCCATCTTAAAGAGGCGGTCAATCTATCGCCCAACATGGCTTTAATATAATCTGTAATAGCTTTAAATGTCTATCAGATTTTGTCAAATAAATTTATGTTGTTTCTTGAAAGTGTTGCATAAATGCAATTTTAGTTAAGCCTCTTTATGTGAAGAGGCTTTTTCGAACTCGATTTTCAATGAATATCTTATTTTAAATTTCAATACTTGATAAATGCAAATGATTTATATTTAAATGTTAAATATATTTCTAGGTCAAGGACCTCCTAGATTGTTTTTCTGATACGATTATTGGTTTAAGGCTGCCCATTATTGAGGGTGGTGGGGTGTAATATTTTGACAGTTGTTGATTGAAGCTATTGCTGATTTGACGTCATTTGTTTTGCATTCTCGGCATGCCAATTTTGTTTGCTCAGTCAATCTCTGTGTGCCAAAATTTATCCAGGGAAATCAAATGCAAAATTTGCACTGGAAATTTGATTGACACAATAAGGCCTTGAAGTGCGAAAGTTTATTTTGGGACCTGTAAATGGTTTCAACGAGGTGAGCTTGAAAAGGACAAGGGCTTCTTTTCACGCCTTATCGTTTAGGCGGCTTATCAAAACACCCATTAGAACCCATCTTGCCACTTTGAGGAGCTGGCAGTCCCAAAAGGTAAACAGGCAAACAAACCAGAAATAGCATGCAAACTGCTTTTGGCTGAGTGAGGGAGCGACAATTTGGCGCGTTGTCAAAACAAAGTGCTACGGCACATAGATACACTCAGTGCCACACACAGATACCCACACCGATGCAATGTGGACTTGTGTGTGTGTAAAAGCAGCCAGACAAAATCAATTTGAATCGCGCCAGTCAGCCAGACAAACAAGGAGCATTCACGACATGGCCAGTAACGGAATGGAACGGAACCACGGAAGCCACAAGAGAGCAAAGCCATCACCCCATCTTCCACTCACGTACAGAGTGACACACACAGATGCACACCCGCACCCACACACACACCCACACACACACACACACACACAGATGCATGCAGCGCGTAATGGCGCGTAAAGTGTTGCGCCATCTTAATGCGTGCCAAAAACCGCGATTCATTGATGCGACTACTTTGAAGGGTAGGCAGGAGTCCTGATAAGGAGCAGCAGCATTAACCAGATAGTGAGACGGGGATATATACTCCTTTATTCAGAAAGGCGGGAGCGGATAGGAGGGGAGGAGGGGAGGAGAGACCGCAGCAGCCGCAACCGGAAACGGAAATGAGTGGAGTAAGCAAACTGAAGTGGTTCGGGCGGGTTGAACGCTCTAAAAGCCATCTACAGACGGGTGGCAGCGAAGTTTTCATAGCAATTAGCTGCAGGCTCGCGTGTTGGTGTGTGCACAGAGAAAAACTTAGATTTAATTAATCTGCAGTTTGCTTTATTATAAAACAAATACATTTTGATCTCCAAATGGGGAGTAAACGCGTTAGCTTACTTTCACGATTGCCCTATTTTTGGCCCTCAAAATAAATAGCTTATGAAATGAATTAAAGAAAATATTTTACTGTATATAAGTGAATAATATTTCTGGCGACTAGACAGCGCTTTTTATATATTTTTTTCACTTTTAAATTAATTTTGAAATCAAGCATATGGACCTGAATAATCTTTAAGATAGATAGCAACTACTAACTACTACTGTATTTTTGTTTTATAAATCACAGATTATTATTTTTCTCTGCCTGTGCCTGTGTGTATCTCCAGCTCTTCTCGGCCGTGTCAAAGGGCTAACGCAATGGGAGGGGGGAGGAGTGGGGAGTGGGGAGTAGGCCAGCGAGCTGCGAATTCGTTATTGCCCGCTGTTGTTGATTCAATTGCAGCGAGTGGCACGCATGGGAGCAGGCAGGACCTTTCGCAAAATGTTAACAGGGCGAAGGGCGGCAGCAACAGCAAACAGGTGAGCCAGGCAGGCAGGCAGGCAGCAGCCAGGCCGTCTGCTGTGTGGCCCAAACCAAGCGAATATTGGCCCATTTGGCACGAGGCCAACGGGGCCAGAACTGGCCAAGGCAGCCCAACCAGTTGCATTCGCAGGGCGCTGCCTGCTGTGGCATGTTAATGTCAGTGTCACGGTGTCAAATTGTCAGCGCCTGTTGCAACTCGGAACAGCCTTCGTCCCCAGCCCCCCTGCCCCCCATACTCGGCCCGTGATACCATGAAAAAATAAACCAGGATAGTTAGCATGCCGAGGCACAAAGTATGTGCGACGCCTTAAAGTATGCCATGTGCCATAATTTGTTATGACATGGCGACGAACTTTTCCCGGGTGAAAGTCACCCAAAAATGAACACACTTTATGCCAGCTGAATGCTAATGCCCGAGCTGCGTTGCAAAAACATTTTAAGCAGCATCACTGGCATTAAACAACAGTTTGGCACCAAGTAATCCAGCATATCGGCCATTAAGCATACGCACTGCGGACCCTCGTCAAATTAAAAACATGCGGGCCAGGCCAACCCTTCGAGCGCATATGCCAGAAGTATCCGTGCACATTCTTGAAATTTAACCACTTGTTAAACAATAATATCCAATATCATAACACAGGCAACGAGTGCGCAGGCCAGATAGACACGGAGTGAGAGTGAGATTGAGTTTGAGAACTGCTCCGGAGCTCTCTCCTTCCCCAATGAATACACACGAATGTACACCAACGGGCGAGTGAAAAGCGTTTTGGATTTGCTTTTGGCCAGGCCAGACCAGAAGCCCCGTCAGTTCGACACGAGACCTGAACGAGTGCGGACGCGTTTGGCGGACAGAAAATAGCCCACCAGGAAAAGCTGTAAACAAACCCGAATAGTGAGATAGCCCAGTGGTTGCAGCAAGTTCGCGAGTGTCCCCGTGCTTGGCCATATGTGTGTAGATTAATTGGCAATTACCGATCCGCCAAACCGTAAAGCCGCAACATCATGCCCGAAATCATCGAGCTGAACGTCGGCGGGGTGAGCTACACGACCACACTGGCCACATTGCAGCAGGACAAGACCACGCTGCTGGCCGAGCTCTTCGGCGATGGACGTGATTCGCTGGCCAAGGACAGCAAGGGTCGCTACTTCCTGGACCGCGACGGCGTCCTCTTCCGCTACATCCTGGACTTCCTGCGCGACAAGGCGCTGCACCTGCCCGAGGGATTCCGCGAGCGCCAGCGGCTGTTGCGCGAGGCGGAGCACTTTAAGCTGGCCGCCATGCTCGAGTGCATCCGGGGTGAGCGGGATGCCCGGCCGCCCGGCTGCATCACCATTGGGTATCGCGGCAGCTTTCAGTTTGGAAAGGACGGACTGGCCGATGTCAAGTTCCGCAAGCTGTCGCGCATCCTCGTCTGCGGACGCGTGGCCCAGTGCCGCGAGGTCTTTGGCGACACCCTGAACGAGTCCAGGGATCCCGACCATGGCGGCACGGATCGGTACACCTCGCGGTTCTTCCTGAAGCACTGCTACATCGAGCAGGCCTTCGACAATCTGCACGACCATGGATACCGCATGGCTGGCAGCTGCGGATCGGGCACCGCCGGATCGGCAGCGGAACCCAAACCGGGTGTGGACACCGAGGAGAATCGCTGGAACCACTACAACGAGTTCGTCTTCATCCGGGACTAAGGCTAAGGGACTGAAGGAAGCACTCGAAAGCACCCCACCCAATCCAATGCTCTGTATCCTTCTATTTCGTTTGTGCGGCAGCCATTAAGACGTAGCAACTTGGAAGTCTCCCTAGCCATAAACATCAGAATTCCAAGTGCTCTATTCTACGGATTAACCTTTATTAATGGCAGAGATCAGGAGGCCGCACAATGGTTTGAGTTTCAACCCACCTCTTGATATACAAACGGGAACATTTCAAATGTACAATTGAACTAACAATCCACACTAAAGTCTAGTAAATTGTTGACATAGATAACTTAATGAGCGAATGAATGTAGGCATCTAATTTGACTTTTTCCTTTGCCTTGCTAATTTAATACTTTGCTTCGCGTACTAATCTATAAATCAGGGTGGGCATATTGCATATTACGAGCTGCGCTGCTCCACACTCTTTGATGAATGAAAACGAATTGGGATTTACTGGCTGACAACAAATGAAAACAATTTGGCAAGTGCAGATAACAAAAACAAAGCAAACATTTTATTAGCCCCAACTTTTGTTGATGCAGTGCAGTGTAAACAAGATGAGACGAAAACATAAAACAGATCAGAATCAATGAAATAAATTCAAACGAGGCGGGAGAAACAGAGAGAAGACCGCGGCAGCTGGATAAAAGTATTTGTGGTCAATCAATCACACTGAAATCACACTCAACAATTTGAAATACGGGTTACTCTTTGAAACTAACGAAATATTGTAGCAACAGAACCACAAAAAAACCAAACTCAAGCAAATGGTAAATCTAAAGTTTTATTAGCCTAATAAAAGTCGAAACTTGAAGTAAAAAATATACAAATAGCGAAATAGGATAACGGCGAACAACATGTGGCCCAAAGTATATGTTGACCTAGCCTGCAATCCATAAAACTCAAAAACCAACCATTTACTAAACAAACCGAACAACGGCTGTCTTAGGATATGCCCCTTTGCAATAACTCTTGATTGTTTTCGATTCCTACAAAATGGCATGGGAAAAATATGTGGCCACAGTTGGCTTGGCAGTTTTTGAGAGCGATAAAACCTGGTCCTGGAGCCAGAATTGATTAACTAGTGATTTTTAGAAGAAAAACAGTGAGCCAATCGTACAAAACCACCTTCATCAAGCAATTATCATTTAACACTTAACATTTGATTTGTTCGTAAGCTGTATTGAAAAATGCCAAAAACCAAATGGTCACAAGGACTTCCAGAATCACGATGGGAATACGAAACTAAATTTGCTGAACCTTAGAAACCCGCTCTGTTATTATTGATTTTATCCACATTGGGAGCGGACTTCTGAAAATGTTTTTCGCTGACATATCTCGCATCGCAGTTTCGACATTTCCGCAGGTTTGCAGTTGAATTCATGTCCACATGATGGGAAATTTATTAAACGAAGCGCTTGGACGGAAACCTAAAATGAAAATGCCAATGCGCAACATTGAAACAAAAGCAAACATCATCAAATATACGAACAAATTGTATAAAACTATAAATTCTTTAAATCGTGTGTAAAGGGACGCGTTGCATGTGTAATCATCAGCAATAACGTGGTAATAAGCATGAAAAACTATTAAGCTCCATTATATACCGACCCCTGACTCGCTGTGAGTTTAAGGGTCTTACACAGATAATTTGAATCGATATATACAATATCTACATATACCTAATTATATATTAAAACAATTGTCGATATTGAAAGTATCTTATAAATGTTTAGTATTATATGTAATTGAATCCAAATTGAAAGGCAAGGCGACGGAAATGTATTGTATCATTAATTAAATTAAACTGAAACTAATTAAACTTAAATAAAACGAAATGTAAAATGTATTTAGAGAAGCGCAAAGTAAAACTGCTAAAATAGCCTATCAAAGTGCGACTAAGCAAGCATATGTATGTAAAGAGGTATAACTTGCGAAAAGCGAAAACCAAACAATAAATTAAAGAAACCAAACCAAGATAAAGTTGATTGGGGTGCAGGTGAGCAGGTGAGTTTCATCATCTAATTTCAGGGTGGATGGCTTTTTTTTGCTTATCCTATTCTAATTAATAGGCTGCGGCCTACAAAATTTGTGCTGCATTATTAAATTCAATGAATAAATTATGAGGGTATCCAGCCAAATTCGCTGACATTGATAGCAGCATATAAAATTTATGAACTGCCAGCTCCCAACTCGCGACAGCTCATTAAAATTGACGGCTAAACAAATAAAAACAAAAATGCAAACACAATCATAAAGGAATCAAATATACATTGAAAATAAAACAAACAACCCAGTCGTGCCAACAAAAAAAAAAGGACAAACAATGGAAAACAGAACTTTTTCAGGGGATTGGAACAAACATCAGCCTCAAAAAAGTTGGCAGGAACAAAAGTGTATATAAATAGCTGAAAGTCAGGGAGATGAATGAAGGCGACCATTAAAGCGGCAGCAACAATTCCTCATTTGTTTAAATTCAAAGCAGGCAACAGTCATTTAACTGGGCTGTAAGGTCCTGGCAAAAACAAAAACAGAAGTAACATCACTGAAATGGGCGGCCTCTCAGAAATTCTGAAATTAAAAGGGAAAATGCTTTCTTGTTTTTTGCAATTTCCCCCTTTGTGTGTGTATTCTGCGTGTTGAAGTGTGTGCTTCACAGCCAGAAAGGTATACCAATAAAAGCGAAGCAAAAGTTGGCGCCAATCGAAAATGCACTGCCTAAAAGCTGGTCCCGAATACAAACCCTAGATGAGCTGACGTGCCACCTGCATACTAAGCAACAGCCAGGATTTTTTCGTTGCCTCTGTGAAGGTGGAGTGCCTTTGGAAAGGACGAAGGGAAGGCGGTTATTGACTGTGCGAACTCAAGATGTACACAATATGCAAATTGCGGGTCCAGAATGAGGTAAGATAGCAGACAACTCCATGCTGAGTTTTGGTATCTGCTGTGCGCATATAAATTACAGAGCAAATACTTGGCTTCGCTTATTTAACTCGGATACACTTAGAAATAAACTTTACATTAAAAATAATAATGTTCTGTTTCTTAATTGGTCTTCTAAGTAATTATCTTTAAATAATACGGAGAATGCTTAACCCGTTTTTGTTAATACGTGTATTTTTGGGATTTTATTTCAAAAATTATCAACTTTTTTCTCTAAATATATACCCACCAGAACGGAATGTAAAAGGAGGCGGATATGTTGTCAATTTTTGAGCCTGGGAAATTAAATGATGCCTTTTTGTCTCTTACGGTAAATTACCTTGATTTGATTTTGCCATAGCCAAGTTGCCCCGTTGATTAACATTTTCCCGGTACTCAGCCACTGGCGGCAACAAAAGACAGGCACCCTGTCATTTTCAATTAGTCCCAAACCAAGAAGAAAAGCGGTCCCTCGGCCATCAGTCCTCAGCTGGAGGCGATACAACAAGAGTGTCATCTGCGTGCTTTATTAATTCATAAATATAAATTTAGCATAGGTCGCGGCAAGAATGCTTAAAGCTGTCCTCAATAAAGGATCCCGTTTGGCAAAGAACGTCAAAAGTTTGAGCCTCTGAGGCTTAACTCTGCTCGCGCTTACCTTTATTGCCGAGCCAAATGGAAAGTGTTACGTACTTTAATGAGGCCCAATTTACACATTAATTACCATAGCACAGGTTGAGTTAACGTGAGAATTTTATAAAGGTTATTTAACGCAGGATAAGAGCTCACGCTTTTCCCATTCTGCGCCACATTGTTTGATTACTTCTATACAACGGCTTTTATGTTTATAGCTCACCGAAAAATTCTACATATATTTTTTAAATTAGTTTAATATGGCAATATTTTAATAGAATATAATAAATTACAGAATTATAAATATTAATATATTTCTAATAGAACAAATTAAGTCCTTTGTGCGAATACCCTTTAAGGCATTTTTATGATAGTTTTATGAGGAATGATAAACTTAGCTCATAATGCATAAATTAGCAGTGACTATTAAATTATGTTATTGATTTAATCTTATCGGCAAGCGCCTAATAATTGGTTCATCAATAAATGGAGCTCGAATAAAGATAAGTGTGATTAAGATTACTTTCAGCGTGATTATGGTCAAGCGTTTTTGTATATGCTTGCAATTTGCTTAAATTTATTTTTATTTCCGCCTTTATGTGTTGCGAACATTTCCCCTAATATCGCCTAAAGACAAACAAGCCAGCGGAGACTACACAAATGTCGGGGGCTTCGAAAGTATGTACCAGTACATAATCATTGCACGTCCACATATGTTCGCCCGCCCAGCATCCCACGCAGATACATGGCCATAATGACCGCATCATTCACCATACAGACCCCGAAACCCTATTTACAACTCGTATTGCCGTTAGTTTTAAAGGCCTACACGTGCGTGGGAGCAGTGCAATGTGTGTGTTATATTAAGGCAGTCATAAAATAACCCTTGGGCAGCATAACTAGTTATTCTCTCGAAGCAATTTTCTACTCTGGTACACCTACAAAGATCGTAAATATACACTAAACTAAGTCAACATACTAGAAAAATAAAAAAGAACAAACAATAAAAAATAATTTAAAAAAGAAAAATTGTATCATGTCAAGTTGCCTCCTGTGAGGGTTGAACTCACGGCCTTTGGTTTACGAGACCAACGCTCTACCACTGAGCTAAAGAGGCGATGTGAAGAGCGCCGCCAAATGCCTTATATAAAATAACGCTGGAGAGCAGCAAAGATAACGAGAGAGTGAGAGAGAGAGAATGGAGGGTTGTTAGATCGTTAGTCATTTTGTTTTAGAAAATTTAACATTACAAAATTAACAAAGCAGTGTATTTAATTCAAATAATTGTATACTAAATACAGTACTCGCTCGAAAAGGTAAAAGAGGAAGAAAAACTAGATTGATTTTGTTTATTGCAACGATCAGCTATTGCATGATCATATTCAAATGACATTCAGTTAAAAAATTTAATTCTTAAATATTTATACTTTCAGCGCCGCTAAAGAATATACAAATTAATGTTTTTTGCCGTGAATTTACCAAGTTATTCAAAGTATTATTCATATTTTATTTGTTAATTTTTATAGTGCATATTAACAAAATTATTGATCTTAAATTTGAGAATTACATAAAAAAAATTTTATTTTCACAATGCTGCCTCCTGTGAGGGTTGAACTCACGGCCTTTGGTTTACGAGACCAACGCTCTACCACTGAGCTAAAGAGGCTATGTGCAAGCGGCCGCCAGAAGGCACATACGAAATAAACGATGAGTGAAAGAGAGGGAGCGAGAGCGCGGCGAAGGAGCGCATGCGCAGTGAGAAGATAAGATAAAATATTTATTTTAAATTACTCTAAAAAATAACTTAAATTTAATTTATTAAAATTACTTACAAATATCAAAACTAATATTGAGTATTGGGCGGCAAGGTTGCATTCAAAATCAATAAATGTATCTAAGGATGTTATCTGTTGGGTATTTTAAGATAAGATAGGCTAGTAATTAGCTAATAACCTTTGAAGTTGCGAGCAGAAATATCTCAATTTTCCGCAAATACACATATAAAGGCTATTAACTAATAGACCACCTATTTTATAATTGCAATATGCATTAGACAGTTAATATGTGGCTATCCATCATGATGCCCGACTACATGCTGTTTTTGTTTGCCATGTCTCCTGGTGTTGACCAAGGCTCACAGAAACATCACTCATTGTCAGAAGGACATACACACGTTCTGCATTATGTGTGTGCCACAAAGCGGAAATGCTTTGTGGCAGCTCCAAATGAAAGTATTTCCCTTTTTGCAGCCCCTAACATAAATTCAAATATTCCCCGACCTCAGACGCTTTTCCTGGACAAAATACAAGCAATTTTCTGTTGCCCGGCCTTGGCTTTGTTTCAACTTGAGCAGCCAATGACAAATTCACTTGTCACACAACACAATTGCGGTGAGTGATGGGCCTTTTTCCCAACCCTAGGTGGATGGGATTGGATGGCGGTGGAGCAAGCTATCCAACAGATGTTTGCGATATGTGAGTGACAATTCTATTAGTAACAAATTGAACCGGCCAAGTCACAGCCATAGATACACAGAAGCAAATCAAATTGAAATTGGTAGTTGTTAGTTACTATTAGAAATATACAAGAAATCCATAGATTATAACGCATTTGAATTGATTTGGTTGTTAAACCACAATAATTACCACTTTGGATTAACAAATTTTCTGAGCGCCTTTGAAATTTTTGAAAATTGGCAACGCTGATTTATTTTTGAAGATACTTTAAAATTTACGATTTTAAGAACTAAATAATTTTTTTTTCGGTGTCAAGTCAGAACTTGGGCAAGGTCAAAACAAGTAGCGGTGGGGCACGCAAACGAGCCATTAACACCCGCCATAACTAGGGCCATAAACAAGAGGTCCTGAAACACAATGTTGGGAAACAACAATACTGCGCGTATACAATGATAATATGGCGATATTGTTGAGGTAAACCTCGGCCAGGGACCAATATATCACAATGCCGATAAGGGTAGTAAGTAGTTATTTGATAAAAACTCTTAACTTATTTTGACTTACCAAACGTCACAGTTTTTGTCCCGCATAAACATGTTAGATTTAACTAGCCAGGCTTGTTACTTTCGCTCACAGAGTGATTTACTCCACGGCGTTGGCCAAATTAATTGCCACTAATCAAGTGATTTGAATTTTTCATGCACGCGCCTCGTAAAAGGGGTTCCTCTGGTTCTTCTTCACGTTCGCATAAGGAGGCAGCATAAAACAATTTATGGTGTTTTATAGCCGCACTAATTGCACGCAAGCGCGAGTCCTGATTAATTGCTGTCAAAACGGGAATTAGGAAGGGAGCTCGAAGAAAACACTGCCACATGCTTATTGATTTTCAGTCCGCACACAGAGTAGTACATGGGGCTGATAAATGAACCTAAACGGCAGAATTTATAACCAAACTCACAGCC